TAATAATTATGCAAATAAATCTCCTCGGCCTGCGCAAACCACAGTGAACACAGAAATCGTAAATAACGTATGATAGAGGAATCTAAGCCTTCTAACTGAACATACAAAGACAACGCCTTAACAAATACTTGTAAAAGGAAAACCCATAAACATTTCTCGGAAAACGCAACTTTTCGTGTGTTCAGCTACTAAAATGTATAATGGTGTTTATAGTATTGTAGATATGAAGATATATAAGACTGGTTTGATTGCATTATAATAAAGTGAGCGAAACGCCACAATGTTTTAAGGAGCTTTTAATTGGAAATCTAACAATAAATGAATGGGCGTAATAATCGTGCGAATCAACATAAAAATATTAATTGTCAGAACGACTTAATATGTTAGTTTACAAATATGCAAATAAATACGCAAATCAAATGAAATAAATAGCTTCTCATTACTTTATTTTGTCATAAACAAATGCGTTCTCATTTTATTGTTGAATACGAGAACGCTGATGGGTATGGATGGACAACAGAATATGCCATAAAGCACGTAATTAATTGGTTTGTACCAAACTTCAGGCCATGTCACACATTATAACTTCTTCAGACGACAGTAACGGAGTACAAAACTGCCATCAGTATCCGCATAAACATAATATCAATTCACTGATGCGACCAACAGCTAACGTTTCCCACTCAGTAATATGCCCTTCGAAACGTGAATTATTTGCGGATTACGATATATAAAACAGGAAAGCAGCACTACCTAATAGTGACTGAAATGCATTCTAGAAATATATTCATGGAAGACCATTATAAATCACGCAATTCAGAATGGAGCATTATACACTATCAAATTTTGAGTATACATGTGCACTTCCCAAAATTATTATTCTAGTGTGACGCTACTCACATAGTTTAAAAGGGAAGATTTAAATGACTTGTTTTTCATTTTATTATACTAAATGCTAAGCTCGCTCTGAAACATATTATGAAACATGCTGATCGTATAATTCCATATAATATCAAATATTATCATTTATTTAATAATAAAAAAGGAAAGCAAAAAATTACTTTTTGGATACAGCATATAAACTACCTTTTCGGATAAAAAATCGTTTAAATGCATATTATTAGACAACTTACATAAAATTTCCTCCCAAAAAACTTATTCATTGCTACGAAATATACTCTATGTACCCCCTTTACCATCTGTCTTTAAACTATTAAATAGTGTATCATTAAACAGATTCCCGCGCTCCACAAAAAATAAATTAATATTAGGAACTTACAACTACACTTAAAAACTAGTTTAAGAATTTTTGTAGCCTACTCTTCTGAATCACGTTACGAGTATTCGTATTTTGCTATTATTTTAGAAAAGGAACAAACAATAATATTAACGAACATGTAATATCATTTTTATGTTTATGAATATTAATAAATCAATTATAGAAGTTAGTGAAAGACACTCCATAAAAATAATTCGAATCGAACTGTTCTTCTTCATTATTTTCTGCAGTAAACATAATAACAACTAACTTCTTTATTCTAGCATGATATTCGTGCATGATATCTTATTAAGCAACTTGTTCATCGTCACTTCTTCGCATATAACGTTTGCTTGTTTACATTCACCCAATTCATAATCTTTGAATATTCTTTTTTATAAAGTTTGGAAACTTCCATCGAATTAATGATTTTCCTGCTTTTGCAGCAGCTTTCGTAATGTCTCGGGATAACGAATCCTACAAATTTTATAAAATGTAACCTAAAACTAATGTGCTTTGCCACTTGTACTTAAGCAGCACACATGACGTCTTAACATAGGTCCGAGGGTGCAACTTAACATATAAATTAATTTCTCTTCATTAAACCATTAAAATATTGTTATATAGAAGCTAGTGATGCTCTTATTATTAACTAAAGTTCACTATAAACCAGGGATCACTATATCCGAGTTCACTACAACCGGAGTCAACCAGAGTTCTCATCCGCTCCTCGTGTGCAGGCCGTGCCGCCCGATTCCCGGGCGGCTCCATTGCAGACAGCGACCTGCCTTCCGCTCCATTAGGCCGCGCCTGCGCTGCGCCGCGCCGCGCCGCACGCGCTTTCGGTTGAAAACGCTGCGCGCGCCGCCAAGCGAGGGGCGCAGATACCTCAGCCGAGGGACGCCATTTCGCGGCCGGAAGGCGCCGGCTTTCACGAAGCCATCCTCCCCACGCCCAGCTAGCCCAGCCCGCTGGCGCAGTTACGACGCGTTGGCGATCTTGCGGCGGCACGTACAAGCCAATTCCATAACTAGGTTGAAACGATTGACATTTTTTTCACGGGTTTCGAATGACACGTTACACGGAATCGGGCATATTAGACCTTTTTAAGAATAGTTTTACTGTTAGCATTTTGTTTTCGGTTTCGAATTAAAATATTAAATATTTTAGCTCATTCTCAATTTTCGTAAATTTCAATTTTTCGCATGTGGCTTGTATATTAGCATGTCAAATATAAAGATAGGAGAACTCAACCAGTCCGTTATTGATGCAAAAGATGATTATAGATTGGTGGTGATGAGGATTTCCGGTGACGTTGGCGGCGATGGTGAGTCGTAGGTGAGCCTCTGTTAAATATTAACTAGCTAAATGAGGCGTTTTCGAAGGGTTAAACTATTTAAAAATTATTTTCGTAACCCAAAAATCAGTTATTGGGTTCTATATCGTCGGACGAAGTACGTAAAAATAATTTATTAAGAATTAGAAAGTAAATAATAAAAAATACATCAAATGTGTGGGCGTAACTACTTTATCGGATGTTCTTTTAGGCTACGGTCACTAGCCACCCCAGAATACATTATTGGGCAACCTAATCCGAACGCTCTAAAAAGAGTTGTTCTGAAGTGCACATTTTTCCTGTATTACTAGACGACTTATTAAAGAAAATGTGTTCATTTGCAAGATTCTATTCTACAACATACCGTTTCATTCTTATAGATTTATATTAGATTATAATTTTGTAGTTGAAAGTATCCTAAAAATGGTGATTATCTCATTATATATTACAACAAAATTATGACATAAAGCTATAACTATCCTACGGGTTGGCAACCCAGACCATAAAACTTTTCCGATCCACGCTTTGCACAACACAACATACTGTAAACACGACTGCGGTCTGTTTTCATCACCTGAATACGTGGGTCGTACTGTGTTCACATCAACTCAGGCTGTTATCACAGATGCATTACTGCATAGCGCTGGGGAAAGAGGTTCGCGCGTCCACCGCTAGATAGCAGTGCTATAAAACGAAATACCACGTTTTTGGAAATTTCTTAGACTCTTCTGTATGGATCCGCAAAGAAATCATCTGTTCCCCACCAGGAGGCATCGAATGGCACGTCATATGTCTCGATTGGCAGAAGGGAAGTGGTCGAACCGTAAGAGACGGAGGGACAGTCGCAGGTTACTCGAATAATATGTAAGGATAAAAGAGTCGATTATAGAGAAATTTCAACATCCGTTGTAGTGAACGTAGTAAATGAACGTCCAAGAAAAATCTTTTTCGGTGCTGCGAATTCATATGACACTACGGGATTGCTTGTAGAAATTCTCGCGAGTTAGTTTTGTAACATTTGGGGTAAAAAAATATATTATATTGAGAGAAGCGTGTCAGTGAGACAATAACTTCTGCTCGCCAGTGACAGTTCTCTCCAACCTGAATAATTCATAGACGTGGACCAAAAGTTGAAGTCTAGTGAAATCTAAACTCGCTAGGACATTGTGAATGCGATAAAACGGTTATTCAGAGCATAACACAGGTGTCGCATCTAAAATATTTGAAAACAAAAAACCTTGGTCAAAATTTGCGGTCAGACGGAAGAGCAAGTCTGATAGTCTGTGCCTCGCCACGTAACACAAGGCATCATTGAATTAAATTGAATTGAAGGTCAACGACGCATCCCAGAGAAGGCTGTTTTTTTTCTATCATTGTATAGGCAAAGAATTACTATTTCATGGTTTAGGACGTTTATTAATAGAATTTTTCTGAAAAATTTGTATTAGATTAGTGTTTTAAAGTTGTTTACTTAACTATTCCATACTGTCTTAATCTCTTCATGGTAACTCTACCTCTCTTACAGGCAGGCCTACACATAAACATATTAAAGTCTTATTTTAGTATCTCTCGATGTACGAAACAGGGCTCATACTTTCATATCTGCTTAGAGAATGTTAAAATACTTATAAAAAGTACGTGGTCGCGTGTGCCCCCGCACAAAGAACCGCAAAAGTAGAAAGCGTCCTAATGCTTCAGAAACATGGGGGAGGGGGTGGGGTTGGGTCCGAAATGAAGTTGCACGCTTCGCAGCTAGCGAGCAAACCCTTCTCCCGAGTCATTGTGCGAGCGGCGCGACGGCCGCGAGGGCGGTGGGGGCGGCGGCAGCGGCCGCAACCGCAGGCGCGCGTCAATCTCGCAGCGGCCATTTGCCTCTCGCCGCCGCCGCGCGCCGCCGCGTGACGGCGCTGCGGTCGCCGCCTAATGGCTGCGGCCGGCCGCTCAGCCCGCTCCCGTTCTGCGGCAGCGCCATTTTGTGCGACAACACGCCCGTGAATGGCGTGCGCGTGCGTTTCTAGCGAGGCTTGGCACGGAAGTGTTGAGTGTCATAGATTCATCGGTCAGCAACGCCCGAGCTGGTTCGTAAATCGCGGTTTGAGATTTCTGCTACTCCTCGTGCTGCATTATAATTTATCAGGTGTGTCTAATCTGTGGTTAGTTCAATCGAAACACAGTAGTGTCAAGATACGTACACATCACCGATAGGGCTATAAAGCGATGATAAAGTGCACACATGTAAGTTCACTTTTGGATGTGGGCGTATACGACTCGTCCGCGAACTCTATTGGTTTCGGCGCCATTTTGTACGCACAACAACACGCTAGTGGACGGATGTTTCCGTGTTTCTGGTGAGCAAGCGCGGAAGTGTTTACTGAATTGGATTTATCGTTTGGTGATTGTTCAGCGATGTGGAAACCGGAGGGTAATTCGTGGTTTGAAACGACTGGAAACGCATTCACATTCTGGTACAACAGGCATTTTAAAGTATGTGTTGACCAATTCAAACACTGACTATTATCCTAAAAAAATATCATGTGTAGAGTAAAATCTCATATAGATATCACAGTGCATAAATACACTAATTGCACTTTCAGATTAAACTAAGTTTTATGTCTAAGTACTGATGCTACAACAGCAGTATTATTGTAATACACATTTTGTATTATTGTAACACACGCATAAAAAATTGTGTTTTTCCACAATTTTTTTCTTTGCACATTTTCACAAACGTAATTTATTTTATTGACACAAATTTGTTAATTGTATATCTTAAGTTCCCAAACACACTACACCAGAGATATAAACAAATTTTTGAATTCCTGAAACCAGCCAGTTTTACTGAAAAAGACAGTAGTTTCTACATGGAGTACGTTTACGAGAAAGTAAAAAGTTTCATTTGTAAGTAAACGTTTAATATGAGCATAACACTTTCCACAAAGAACAAAATTACAAATTGCAATGTTTTGCAATTATAATGCTACTGTTTCCCGATTTAAATTATAGGAAATATCGGACGTAACCACTAATACTGATGCAGCAGTTTTAACATTGTGCAAGTTTCTTAATTTTTTTGCTGGGAAAGGACACAGCTGGTTGGACACCTCTTTCTCAGTTTTACGAAACTTGTTCGGGGGTCAAACAAATCGTATTCTTCAAGAGACCTAAGATGTGATCAACGTCAGTCATATTCGCACATCTCCTGAAGCTCAGGACTCAAGCTTCAGAGGCAGCGCTGCAAGCGACCCTAGAAGTGAGGGTCTACAAGCGGGCTGAGTTCAGATCACGTTTCCTCAAAATACGCACACGAAATATTAATGGAGACTGCTATGGTGAATAGACTTTTGAGGGAAAAAGTTAACGTGTGTGTGTGTGTGTGATAAAGAGAATAGATACAAGTCACGTGTCGTACAGATAGGGATTACGTTGACGGTGAATACTAGCTTCTCTGGTTTGAAAAAATCAGTCAATACTGAACTATAAACGACATTTCGGAAGTGCTTGTCAAGTGGGCCTGAAAATGATGCTCCTAAATACGATTGGCAGCAAGAAAATTATTCAATTTTGTCATATGCATTATGGTATAGATTTATGGAGCATGATTAAAAAAATAACCATGTCTGCACTATTATTTCGACTCCTGCTCCGAGTTAATATAGTGCATCAGAAAAATCTCGTCTCATCGAGCAGAATCAGGACCTCATATTAAACATTGTACTTATGTTGGTCGCAATCAAATTACTGGGAAACGAGTAAAGGGAACAAGCCATCTAGCACCAAATGTTGATGAGTGATGAGTATGCAACTTACTTTTTTGTTGTTGTTGTTGTTGTTGTTGTTGTTTTTTACAAGTTGCAGCTCGTGCTATTAGTGTAATTTTTCCTGGCGCACTGAAGAACCTTACCAAATTCGGAAAGGATATCAGAAACCACTGACGGCAAAGGTGCGACAATATTCCTTACATTTCGCGATAACGGTCACCACAGCGACCAAAATAGATTTCGACATTTCCTGAGAGAGATCTACAGGCCGGACGTCTAACCTTGCAACAACTCTGCATCCTTACGTAAACTACGCAACGGATGTGGCTGGATAAAAACTCGGAATTGTTAACCACGTGTGTCCATCTAAGCTTTAATCTTGTTGCAGCCACATCCTTTCATTCCTCAAAATAATGCAATCTCTTCTACTAAAATAGTCAGCTGCAATGTTTTCTTGAAATGTCATCCTTTTCTCTAAGGCTTCAGTTAATATACACACTCCGTAGTGTTTCAGTGTCAGTGCTTTTCAGAATTCTGGGGAATTCATTACCGGCATTATGAAGTATTTCGCAGGTCTCGCAATTGCACTATTGCTGGGTAAGGTTACACAATAATTAATATTATGTTTCTTTACGCATAAGCACATAAAATTAAAGCTTTTTTTCTTATTAATATTTCTATTAATAAATGAACAATGCTAAAAGCTAGACTTTGCTCCAACCCACCACTATGAATAAAAATGTGCTACGGCTCTTTTATAATTTTAAATGAAAATCCGTGCGAGACACTCTGAAGCTTCATTCAACAGTGTTTCATGTGTGCTTGTATCAAGCCATCACACTGAAAATAAACCAGGAACTAAAACCGTTAACAAGTGTTCAGGAGTAGGATCAAACACAAACCCTACTTTTTTCCATTAAATACAGTGCTGCATCATTTTGTGAAACAAGATACAAGTTTCGAAAAACTACTCACAGTGTAAACAATAGATGTTGTAGGTTTTAAGAGCGCAGACTTTTATTTTTAATTTTAAACTAGGTTTTTGTCAGGAACGAAAAAGTCAAAAGCCGAAGATTTATAGCATTCATATAAAAATTATGACCGTTTGTTTAATGTCGAATTATTACCGTTTAGAATAGTTTCAAAATTGAAACTCAAACAGAAAAGTTTCGTTATCAAAAACTGAAATAAAATAATTCATTAACCAAAAGCGTAATGTTATTTCAATCGGTTTGATGTTTTAGTTTAAATGTTTCCTTATTGATCAGAATATAGCAAACCGTTTACACAGTTCTCCAATTATAGTGGGTCCCGTTTATTTATATTTGAGCATAACAATATGATTAAATGTTAAATAATGAAAAGCGTGGAAGAAATAATTTATTGTAAATTAATTGGTAGCATTATATTAAATTGAACTTTCATCTTATCGAAATTATTCCTATATCGATTAAAACGTTATTTCATAGATAAGAGTTATTTCACAATCACATATGCGAACTCTAAGTATCGTCTTTCAACCGATTTGGTTCCGTGAAGTTGTCTTAGAAGCAGGCGCCGCTCGCGGAGCGGAGGCGGCGTCGCGCAGCCGCCCGGGAGGCTGCTTAGTCCCGGGAGCGCGCGGCATCTGCAGAGCGGCTTTCCCGCGCTACGCGTTCAACGCCACTTCGGGCAGCTGCCAACTATTCACCTGGGGTGGGTGTCAACGACAATTCAACAAGTAAGTTCAAATGCACCGATGTACAGCGGATTTGGCTCTAAACACCCTATTTTTATTTTCTGCGTCGAATCAAGTTTATAACTTGGTTACGCCTGAAAGCGGAATTTCATACAACTAACAACTTGTCAATGATAATATTATTAGTATGTGGTCAAAGTTACCTACTGTTCTTAAAATGCTTTCCACATCAAAATCCCAATATTTTCGGGCTTATTATTGTTAAGACGGTGACTAGGAATTAAATATAAAATCAAATTACTCTTTGTGTATTGCTTCACCTTTGGAATCCAAACATTTTGTTCTCATTTATTTTATTAGTTGGCAAATTTTCTGTTCATATATCATTATAAATTAAATGGAGTTTGATTTATTACAGTTTTTCAACTAAAGAGGCTTGTGAAAGAATATGCAATCCACCAGCACGTGAAGATCCTTCTCCAGTCTCTGAAGATATCGGCTTATTTTTTTGACATTATTCGATCATTAAGAACTTCTTGTATTTTTCTGAAGTATGAAATAAAAATTAAGATTTCAGTTTATCGTAAATATCAGTAGTTAATTCAACAATATCAAGAAATTACTTTAAACCACTTAATAATATGCATCTCAATTTTCTCTATCTGATAATTATATAAAATTTTAACAGTTGAATTCCAATGGGAGAGTCTCTGATGGGGCTCAGCGCAGTTTTCCTTTCTAACTTTATTTAGCCAAGGTGTTACTGTTAAGTCGTTCAGTACTTTTATTAATTGTTGATTGATAATTCGGGACGCGTCAACTGCTAAGGTCATTAGTCCCGTAAGTCCAGTGCACGATTTCATCTCGGGAGCTGGCGATGATCTGTCGCTGACTGCCGAGATCTGGCGTCGATTTACAGGGTTTCCTTCTCCAGGTGTCTCCAACCCGCGGGGCACCTCCCCAGCCGGAACAAGCTCTAAGCTCCCGACTGGTCTCCTGACAAGAGTGGTAGTGTAGTGCATGTTAGTGTAAGTGTGTTAGTGTGTAAAGTGTGAGGATAGGACAAGTGGATAGGAAATGTTAGGAAAGATCGCACGCGGTCCGTGGCCCGTTTGTTTGGGTACTGCTCTCGCATTCGCCTAGTGTTGATCGGAAAAACAATGTAAATCTACCGATCAGAGCAGCCGGACGCTAGAATTATTCTTCACACAGTGACTCGTCCTAGCAGGCAAGCTGGTGTCGAATATTCTGCCACTGTCGGAATTGGAATCCTAGACTGCCGGACAGCGGCGCTGTAGTGACATCAATGTTAGCCACATTTGCCTGTAGAAATATTTGACTAACGCAGTTCACATAGCAGTTATGTGCTTGTAAAGCAGGTAGGAACTCTAGCCAAACTCCATTCGCAAGAGAATTAAAGCACATTCTCGGCTTTAGCCAGACCGTCTTTCACACAAAAAGTTTCGTTTCTGCAAACGTCGCAGACACGGCGGTGACGTTCGTCGCCTGATTGATTGTGCGTCCATGTTTGAGAAAAAACATCAAATCGCGTGTTATTCAATTTAGCTTGATATGAGGATTCCCTGAATGGCCCCTCTCTCGTCCTCTGGGCGTCAGCTCTCCAAGAAAATTCACCCCACATTTACGAATCAATAAATATTGTTTACTTATTAAATGACACTTTTCAACTGCTATTATCATGGAGTAATCTTTGTAATTTAATATTTGTTTTATAACTTTGGTATAACGGCAGCGGCACTCCCTTTAGGACAGACACACTAATATCCAATTCCGGGGCGAGATTCGTACCCCCGACCCGACAAACCAAAGCAGTGACGGCTCATTCTTAGCGACTTTGAGTATTGAAGGCCGCCTGAAATGCGTGCTTGTTCACACAATGCAAAGGAATAAGAAATAATGTCGTTGGGGTTAAAGAAGTTTCTTTGTAGATGTTCCAAATTTGGAATTATGAATATTAGAATTTACGTTTAGAAATTTGAATGAAAAACCGGCCTTATTCCAAGATCGATAAACCAATTCAATGTGCAACTTAGAAAAAAGTAAAATATACTAACAAAATATACAATTATTAGAAAAATATTAGCACAGAAAACGGGAAATTGCAATGTAAATGTTCTAATCATATTTGTGCTCATTAGTGCACTCGTGCACCACTGGCCGTTAATGGATTCTTACTTAACAAACATTTACAATAACTATTCAAAATCTGTACTACAGTGTTTTGAAATTAAACATAAAATATTCGCATTCGACTCTGTAAATTATGGGGTCGCAGCAACACAATAACAAGTTCCGGTTCACACATCCAAAACATAACTTACGAATTTTCGCAAAAATAAATAGTATAACTCAAGCGTAGTACAAATGTGTTCATACAAATGTAATATGTATATATGCACAAATTGAGAAACATCTCTATTTACTCAAATTTACGCTTGTTGAGAGACATGAGAATAATTAGCATTATATGCACTACGTCCAAATATTTCAATTAATTTAATGTGTTCAACTTCTCGTCTGTTCTCCCTTGAAGCTCCCTTGAAGCCCACTACGCGTCATGCAAGAAGTGAGAGCTTCTTATTTCCTCTTCTGGAAGAAGCGCAGTTTCCAGAGCCACGGCGAACGCCAAGCTGCTTCTTGAGCTTCCATCCCGCCCCTCGCGTTGTGCAAAGTCACGCGGGCGCCGGCGGCGGCGGCGAGGCGCGGAGCGGTTCCGGGCAGGGTGGAGAAGGGTGGGGAGGGGTGGGGCGGGGCGGAGCGCGGCCGACAAATACGCCCCATTAGGATCGCTCGGCACCGCACCAAAGAGCCCCCTGGGAGAAGGTAAGGAGAGAGCGCCCCTCCGACCACGCCCTCCTCGCCGCCCCCGCTGGCCCTGGCAGCCACGCACCTTGCCCTCCCACGCCCGCCCGCCCGCTCGCCCAGCGATTGGTTGAATGATAAGCGATTTCGGACCCGTCAACTGCTAAGGTCGTTAGTTCCCTAAGTGTAGTGCATGTTACTACCGAGGGAGGTGGTGGTGATCTTGTCCTATTGGATGGCGAGATCCGGCGAGGACCTACGACGGCTTGCGGGGATTTTCTCCAACCAGGAATCTCCCACCAGCATGGCCACCGGAACAAGCTCTAAGCTCCCGGTCTTCGTGACAAGTGTGATATGTAGTGCATGCAAGTGTGTGTAATGGATGAGGATAGAATACAGAAGGGGAAGGAAAGATCGCGCGCGGTCCGTGGCCCCTTTGTTAGGTACTGCTTCGGCATTCATCTGGTGCTGATCGGGGAAACCGCGGAAGTCTACCGATCAGAACAGCCGGCCGCTAGAATTCTTCTGCAGACAGAGGCTAAACTCGATCTGGCTATCTAGCTAGTGTAGAAACTCCTGCTACTATCGGGACTAGTACCTCCAGTCAGAGGTACTGCAATGACAAATCTTAGTACCCTGAGCCACCTTTGCCGGTTTCTCGCTGAAAGTCTCCCGCCTCAACTTTGCCCGCCGCCCTTGCCTCGTCAGGGACTTTTACGCGACCCAACCAGCGCTTACTCTTCCTGTCAGACCGTGCCCCTCCCCCGAAGCAGCGGACTTCGCAACTACGCCTCCCCTCGGGGCTCTCGCCGTCATTTCTGTACCGCTGATTATGGCCGGTGTCGGCTGCCCTCACGGTCTAGTGGAAATATGTTCTCGCTCTTTCGGCTATTTGCGTGATCGCAGAGTGTCCTAGACTTTATCGCCGCTCCAATGTGCGAGCCGTCAGCCCAAAGGCGAGTCTATCGCCCGAGCCAGACGCCCTCGCGCCCTCCCCTCACCGCGCCATTCACGCCCGTTTCCTCCTCCGCAACCCGCGCTCAATCGCCCCAGGGGAGGGGCGAGTGCACAGCTCATGTGGGAAGGGGATGAAGGCTTTATCGGCCTCAATCGAAAGGGAGAAGGGGCAGCTCGGCCGCCTGGAGAATCTTGGGGCGCGTGGGCGATCAGCCGCTGTCAGAGGTTCAGAACGGAATAAAAGGCAAAACTTTGGGGCCGTAACCAAACGTATTTGAATGAAATTCACATTGTGAACCCGCAAAGATTTCTTTCGACGTTCGTGGGGTGGGAGAGTATCTAAAAAAACTCTTTTACTTGTTCTTACAATAGGGAGGTCTGAAATGACAAAATTAAAACTGCCAGCACACGTCGGCGTTAGAATCTTATTTCCAATATTAGGTATTTCAAGAGAATATCTGTGCTACTGATTAGTTAATTATCTTTCTTGACACCTAATTTGTAAGCACATGAATTATCACGCTTATGTTCACCTGTGTGCACAAAAACAGCTGGTTTACGGAGAACATATCGCCAATGAGCTTTGAAACAAGGCAACGACCATCTATAAATCATTTAAGAGCTTTGAGGTACACGAGATTGACTTCCGTTGCGACGCGATCCTTACCACAGCTGGTCCGACCGTAGGTGTTTAAAAATGTGTGCTAACGGCGTCTTCCATAGGAAAAGAGATATCTTTCGCGGACAAGCGGCAATTGGAGACGCGTTACGTATAATCGTGACAATGCTCGTTTTGGCCCGGGCATTGCTGTGCTGTGCAAAGCTAGCGACGTTGTGAAGCAGTTTCGGAGCGTTTAATCAAGACTAAAAGTGTCTTCAATTACTCAGCAGAACAAATTCTATCTGACGCGGCGTAAATGTAACAGTGGCGACAATTAAATTACTATGGCTCTTGTCGTGATGATATCGCGTGGAGAATTTACTTTTAGAAAAACGTTCGTAGAATATGACGCGGAGGAGCCAAATTCCCAATTCCCGTGTTTTCCCCCTGAAACACTGTGTATTTCGTGTTGTCCTTTGCAGAAGCACGGGCGCTTTGTGCGGGCTGTGGGGGACTAGGGGGCGTCGGCGCAACTGCCCCTCGGGGAGTGTCGCTCGCACGTGCGCGCCCGCGCCTCGCGCGTGGCTGCGATACGAAACGCGTGGGCGCCCGCCACCGCCATCATCTCTCCCTCTCTCCCTCTATTCCTCTCTCCCTCCCTCTCTCCCTTCCTCTCTCCCTTCCTCTCTCCCTTCCTCTCTCCCTCCCTCTCTCTTTCTTCCTACCGGACAACTCTCCGCCCCCTCCCTTCACCCTTCCCCTCAATCCCTCCTCATCTCTCCCTATCCTTTCCTTCTGCCCGTCCGTACTCTTCAACTCTTCCTTTCCTCTCAATCTCCCTCTCTATCCCTCTCTCTCTCATCTTATCCATTCCTTCTTCTCTTCTACCTCTTTCTCAACTTTCTCTTTTTCCCTCTCCCCCTTTTCGTCTCCCCACATCCCATTCCCCTCTTCTTCGCCTTTCTCCCTTATATATATATATATATATATATATATATATATAATATTGAAACGAAGAACGTTTCTGTAATTAGAACAATTAAAATATTAAAATGATCACTAATTTATAAATTAAAATAAAGTACTGGAGTTGATCAGCGCAGTAACGCCGCCGCCGCCGCCACCAGCGGTCAAATCGGGGGGGAATACGGCGAGGCGAGCGACGGTTAGTGGTGCGCGAGAGACCTCGAGTGAAGCATGAACGGGG